GTAAATGCGGGGCACGAGCCTGTCCTCATTCAGGAGGGTACCACGCTAGCGCATGCAACGGCAGCACCTGGTCCGGAAGGGGAGGCGTGTTTGGCAATGGGACACGGTGATACATTGCCGTCGGGCGGAGATGACCCAGACTGGTTGCGATATCTATATATGTGCAAAACCCCGAACTGACACCTGTGCAGCGGTCGCGTCTCCATGGGTTGCTCATGGAATTTAAGGATGTTTTTAGTTCTGGCAAATATGATGTTGGTCGTACGTCCTTGTTGCGGCATCACATTGATACTGGGGATGCACCCCCATTTCGCTTAAATACCCATCGCGTGAGTCCGCTGGAGAAAGATTGTATTCGGCGAGCCGTTGATGAGATGTTAAAAGAGGAGATAATTTCTCCTTCCTCCAGCCCGTGAGGAGCTCCCATTGTACTCGTTAAGAAGCGCGACGGGGCCATGCGATTTTGTGTTGACTATCAGAAACTCAATAAGGTTTCCCTTGCAGAAGCGTACCCGCTCCCACGCATCGATGATTCACTAGATGCCCTGTCCGGCACAAAATTTTTTTCGACCCTCGATCTGTTGGACGAGGAGTCTAAGCCAAAGACCGCTTTTCGAACACCACAAGGGTTGTTCCAATTCAACATACTCCCGATGGGGCTCCACTCCGCGCCGGCCACCTTCCAACAATTAATGGATCTCGTGTTGTCCGGACTGCAGTGGGAGTCGTGTTTAATATATCTTGATGACATTGTATTCAGTAAGGATTTTGACGAACATTTGCAGCGGTTGCGTGCTGTCTTTGGCTGAGTGCGGCGCGCTAACTTAAAATTTAAGCCCCAAAAGTGCCATTTGCTGAGGACGTCTGTTAAATATTTGGGTCATATTGTTAGTGCATCAGGGGTTGCCACCGATCCGGAAAAGACGAGCTGCGTGCGAACGTGGCCAGTACCAAAGATGGTAGCTGAAGTGCGTAGCTTCGTGGGCATCGCGTTGTATTATCGACGGTTCGTTAAAGATTTTGCCATGATTGCGCGGCCGCTGCACACGCTCACTGGTAAGGGCATGAAGTTTCAGAGGGGGGGACAAAGAACAACGTTCATTCGAGGCGCTGCGGGCCGCTTTGGCGAACGCGCCGCCGCTTGGATACCCTGATTTCACGAAAACGTTTATTCTCGACACGGATGCCAGTGACACGGACATAGACGCAGTCTTGTCGCAAAATGTTGATGGTATTGAGAAAGTTGTGGCGTACGGCAGCCGCGTGTTGTCTCCGGCTGAGCAGAAATATTGTGTAACGTGCAGGGAGCTGCTGGCCATCGTGCACTTTGTTCGATTGTACCGACCGTACTTGTATGGCAGGGAATTCTGATCCGCACTGATCACGCGACGCTACAATACTTGTTTCGGGTTGACCAGCCGTTGGGCCAAATGGCCCATTGGTTCGAGATCCTGCAGGAGTATTCCTTCACGATCCAGCATAGGAAGGGGACGCATCATGTCAATGCTGACGCTTTGTCGCGATTGCCGCAACCGACGGGCTCGTGTCGGTGTGCGGAGGGCTCGCTGCGTTGTGGTCTGCCGCTGCAGGGCGTTCCGGCTATGGTCCCTGCAGCAGATTCAATTCGGCCCGAAATGATTCCCGCTGTGGGATCGGGTTAATTGGGATTAACGCTGGCCCAGTGGAAACGCTTACAGGCGGATGACTCCTCCCTGGCCAGAATGATGCTTCGGGCCTCTCGTTTAAGGGGATCGGAAGATCGCCCCTTTCTGTGAGTCGTTGATGGTCTCCTCGTTCGCTGGGATGTCAAAGCGCCAATATTCTGTATTGTTGTTCCGATGGTGTTGCACGGGAAGCTCATTTGTGATACCCATGACAAATTGATGCACTTAGGGGAGAAAAAGACCGCGCTGACCTTGGAAAAAAATTTACTGGCCAGGAATGTATAACGATGTACAATGAGATGTTAAGGCATGCCACGAATATGCACGGCGGAAGGCGCCGGCGCAACCCTATCGTGTACTGCTGCAATTGATACAGGTTTCGTGCGTCAACGAAATTGTCGCCCTGGATATAGAGGGGTCCGTTTCCCGTCACCCCCCGGTGGCACAAGTATCTACTCGTGGGTGTAGAGTACCTTACTCGCTGGCCTATGGCATGGCCGCTAGTGGACCAATCTGCGGGGTCGATCACAGAAGCTTTCTTACAAGGATACGTTCTCGATAAGGGCACCCCGGAGCACTTGCTCACTGATCAAGGCAGGAATTTCTCGTCCCGATTGCTTAAAGAAGTGTGTGATTCGTTGGGGACTTAAACGATTCTAACGTCCCCGTACCACCCGCAAACCGACGGGATGGTCGAACGCCTGCATAGGATGCTGACGTCTATGCTTTGCCACCAGGTTAACTCCTCGCAGGATGGTTGGGACCTGCACGTTCCGGCGACCCTTGCCGCTTATAGACTAGCCCCGCATGCCTCGACGGGGTACTCGCCTTTCTATTTAATGTATGGTCGCGAACCAGAGGCGCCGGCCTTGGTCAAATTGGGTGTGCGAACACAAAGGAAGTCGTCGATTGTACCTGCTCCTATGCAGGTGGCATTGGACCGTCTGAGGGAGGCTCGGGTGGCCTCGTTGGGTAACACAGCACGACGACAAGCCGCCAACGAATGATTGCATGGTACGCAGCCTCCTCGAGAGCCGTGGTGTGTGGGGGACAGGGCTTGGTTGCACTGTCCCATGGTACCGGTGGGAATGTCTCCGAAGTTCCATCGGCCCTGGCAGGGTCCCGTCGAGATTGTTGAGGTTCTCCAGGACCAGAGTGTATGGATTCTGTTTGGTGGTCGAATATGGTATGTTCATCTGTCGCGACTTATGAAATTCGTATCGTCCTATGACGCGTCATCTCCCATCCCAGAGCGGCCTGTATTGGATGTATTTGACGAACCTGTGATACGGTCGCATGTGAACGCGCCTCAGAAGTCTGCCTCCCGTGTGCCTGCAGGACCATTCCTATTGACTCGGAGAGAGGGTTCTGGCAGATTTACTAGCCGGAAGCCGGCTGACCGGCCGCAACCTCGGGATACTGTCCGGAACGCACAGGGGCGATGGGCGGTCCCGCTGGCGGATGGTCGCTGTGACAGGGACGGGCATGTATCAAGGATGGGACGCAGCGCTGAATTAACAGGGGAGCATTCCCCGCGCTTGCCCCACAGTGTCCCGTTCAGGGGAAATGGGCCGGCGCCTGGAACTCGCTCCCAAGGAAGAACCTTCCGTTAACTCTACGTCTCTTACGGTTGTTGTACAAAGTTCTGTGATCCATTGTTGTTATTGGTATGTCCTTGTTGTGCTCCACTATCCGGAAGTCGAAGTATGGTCATAGCCGGGACGGCTAGATTTTTTTCATCGGGGGGGGGGAGGGGGGGGGTGATGTAGTGGAATAAATAGGCGCATGAGGGTAATTGGTGAGTTTGCGGGAGAGCAGGACAGTAGGGGTCATATTGGGACGATGAGGTAACGATTGGGCCAATTAAGCTGGGGGAGCCAAGGACGGCTGTGATTGGCTGGTGTTGTTGTCAGGGCTGAGGTGGCGTCTTGATGTTTGGCGAGGTAACAGGTGCACGGGCACGCGGAGCGTCGTTGAGAGGCGGGTTAATTAATTGGGGTGTAATGATAGCGGGGATAAATTGGGGGACGTGAGGAGAAACGGGGAGTTGGAGTCGGGGGCTGGACGAAGCAAGACGTGGAGCAGCTGAAGGGAGAAGCAGCTAGCAGTGGAGAGAGCATAGTGATAGCAGAGAGCGGAGAGAAGAGACGAAGCAGTTAGCAGTGGAGAGAGCATAGTGATAGCGTAGAGAATAGACGAAGCAGTTAGCAGTGGAGAGAGCATAGTGATAGCGAAGAGCGGAAGACAGAGACGAAGCAGTTAGCAGTGGAGAGAGCATAGTGATAGCGGAGAGTAGAGACGAAGCAGTTAGCAGTGGAGAGAGCACGGTGATAGCGGAGAGCAGAGGTGGAGCAGCCAGCAGTAGAGAGCACAGTGATAGCGGAGAGCGGGGAGCAGGGACGACGCAGCCAGCAGTGGGGTAAGCACAGAGACATCGGAGCTGACGGAGAAGTGGAGATTGGAGAGACAAAGGTGGCGAGCGAGTCGAGTGAAGCACGGCGAGCGAGCTGTGGCAACAAGGGAATTGTGAAGCATTGAGGACGTGGAGAACTGTAAATAAAGTGGTGTTGGAAGAAAGACAAAAGTTGTCCGGGTGAAATCAACCACTACATATCTCGTACTGTAGCTACTGCTGCTGTTGCCACTGCTGTATATACTACTGTGGTTACTGCTGTATCTACTACTGTGGTTACTGCTGTATCTACTACTGTGCCTACTAATGTGGTTACTGCTGTATCTACTGCTGTATCTACTACTGTGGCTACTGCTGCTGTAGCTACTGCTGTATCTACTACTGTGGTTACTGCTGTGTCTACTACTGTGGTTACTGCTGTGTCTACTACTGTGGTTACTGCTGTAGCTACTGCCGTAGCTACTGCTGTTGTTACTGCTGTGGCTACTACTGTGGTTACTGCTGTAGCTACTGCTGTATCTACTACTGTGGTTACTGCTGTGGCTACTGCCGTAGCTACTGCTGTATCTTCTACTGTGGTTACTGCTGTAGCTACTACTGTATCTACTACTGTGGTTACTGCTGTGTCTACAACTTTGGTTACTGCTGTAGCTACTGCTGTATCTACTACTGTGGCTACTGCTGTGGTTACTGCTGTGGCTACTGCCGTAGCTACTGCTGTGGCTACTACTGTAGCTACTGCTGTATCTAATACTGTGGTTACTCCTGTAGCTACTGCTGTAGCTACTGCTGTATCTACTACTGTGGTTACTGCTGTATCTACTACTGTGGTTACTGCTGTGGTTACTGCTGCTGTATCTACTACTGTGGTTACTGCTGCTGTATCTACTGCTGTGGTTACTGCTGTAGCTACTGCTGTGGCTACTACTGTGGTTACTGCTGTGGCTACTGCTGTGGTTACTGCTGCTACTGCTTGTGCTCATCGATGACGGCGGCTCTCACGATCTGCATGGGGCCGGGCTGTGTTGTTTGGTGTTTGATCTCTCGCGCCATCTGACACGTGGCGCAGCAGAAGCAGAAGGTGAGCATCACGCAGTCGTCGCATATGGAGCCCTGGAACACAAAATACATAAACAAACATATTATTAAACGGAGACAAAGATCCCCAGTTATGGCCTTACGGGCCGTCCATAAATAACGTCACGCACCTAGGGGGGGTGGGGGTGGTCAGACATTTGTGACGATGTGTGACGAGGGAGGGGGGGTTTGAGAAATGTGACGTCACGTAAAAATGCTCAAATTTAAATAAATATAGGCAACACGTTCTACTTCATTTAAATGTACTTTTTAACAAATGTTTTCTCCTACAACATCAGAGTGCAGCGGCACGTTAAATACGCACTACAATGACAATAGTTTAAAGCGATTTAAAGCATGTTTTATTTTTGGGGCTTGGGGCAGAGCTTTGTGACGTCTGACTTTTTGTGATGCCGTGTGACGAAGGGGGGGGGGGGGTCAAAAATCGTCAAAAATCGCGTGACGTCATTTATGGACGGCCCCTTAACAGACCATCGGGGCAAATGGTGGTAGCGGAGCAAAGAAAAGGTGGGTGGCCACCACCACGCCTGGCCGCCTTTGTCTTCCCAGTGCTGATGTGTACGCACTACGTGTGACGTGGAGCAATCAGCCGTATGTGCGGCTGATTCGATTCGTGAGAAGTACTTTTGAGTAGTAGTAATAGGTTTTTACCCTTTTATCTGGCACCAAAACTGACACCTTTATACAAGGGATCATGTTTGCAATAACCACAACACAAGTAGTCAAAATGCAAACAAAAAGAGACAACTCTGATAATGATATGCACTGTCCTTGAAATTGATTGGTCCACACCTGAGACGGCTTTTCTTAGAGCCTAGTCTGCACTGGTGTTGGACCAGATGACGCCAAAAGGCGTACAACTCAAAAACAGCGCACTATCAGAGTATTGAGAGCTCGGGTAAGAATTTACATTATGAGACCTCCTTTGCCAGTAGCAAGATATAGTAATACGTTTTTTACCCTTTTATCTGGCACCAAAACTTGTAATAAAGTGTCAGGGGGGTCCTCTTGTAGCACTTTATCCTGGCACATGCAGGCTATGGCTCTCGCTCAAAATAATTTCCCAACACCTGTGCGCGTGCGATCCATAAAAACCTTGCATCGACAGTGGCTGGATCACAGGACAGGTGCAATAAGCCAGTGGCAGGACCCCCTCGACAAGAGTCTCCTCACCTGGATGTGGTAGCGCTCACGTATGGCGGTCCTCAGCGCCATGGAGCTGCCGGGTAGGATGGGTAAACAAAAGCACTCACCAAAGTCCTTGGCCATTCGGCAGTTGAGGCAGAGCATGCAGAAGATGCCGCAGAGACCTGGGCACACAGCAATGGCATCGTTACAGCAGAGTCCACACCAACGCTCGTTAATTGGCCCGACAGTATAGAACCCCTCCCCTTAGCGACGGTAATTGGTTCCATGAAACCGGTCGTTAAGTGAATTGGTCGTTAAGCGAGTCAAGAAAATGGACGTTAAAGGCTCAATTCGTTCCGATAGCATCGAAAGTTACCCTTTTTCACCCAAAAAACGTACTTCATAATATTTAAACAATGGATATTAATACATAAAGATAGTAACAACATAAGTGGTTAATCAATGCATTATTTAGTATTTACCATACCTACAACAGCCTTTCGTTAACAAGGGAATGGTCAGTAAGCGAAAGCATTGGGCACTATGGAGGCACTACACTATACACTACTATACACTACGCTATACACTACATATTAGGCTCTATGGAGGTCCATCTTTAAGCGATTAGTCGTTAACAGGGGTGCTCGTTAAGAGGGGTTCTACTCTACACGACTAAACACTACTCTACTGTATACACTACTATACATTACACTACTATACAATACACTATACACGATAATACTATACACTAAAATACACTACACTATACTACTATACAATACACTATACACGATAATACTATACACTACACTATACATCACGCTACTTTACACTACACTACTAAACACTACACCACTCTACTGTATACAACACTACTATATACTACACTATACACGATAATACTATACATTACAATACACTATATACTACATTACTATACACTACTATACACTAAACATTGGACTCTATGGAGGCCCGTCGTTCAGCGATTAGTCCTTAAAAGGGGTGGTCGTTAAGAGGGGTTCTACTCTGCACTACTATACACTACACTATACATTACACCATACACTACACATTGTGCTCTATAGAAGAACATTGTTAAGCGATTAGTCGTTAACAGGGGTGCTCGTTTTAAGGGGTTCTCCTCTGCACTACTAAACACTACACTACTATACATTACACTACTAAACACTACACTACTAAACACTACACTATAACCTACACTACTAAACACTACACTATACACTCCACTACTAAACACTACGCTATACACTACACTACTAAACACTACACTATACACTCCACTACTATACACTACAATACTAAACACTACACGATCAAACACTACACTATACACTACACTACTAAACACTACACTATACACTACATGTCTATACACTACACATTGGGCTCTATCGAGGCCCGTCGTTAAGCAATTAGCCGTTAACAGGGGTGCTCGTTAAGTGGGGTTCTACTAGAATGTATAATGAGGGCCCTGCAAAGATTGGGTCATTGTTTGGTGGTGCCCAAGGGCGTAACTATGGGGGAGGGGGTGTGATGTGGCAGCGTTATGAGACACATAGGAGCCCAGTCAGTTACAAGGGGGCCCCCGAATCAACAGATACACATGTTAAGAACAATTATTACATTTTTATGTTCAATTAAAATACCCTGCGGTCTACCATGGGCCAAGCCCGATGACTAAGCCATCCTGGCTATCATCGTATCAATAGAGCAGCGTAAAGTTGCGCGATCCACCCCTTTTGGCTGAAAACTCATGACAAGTGGCAACCCAACAATGGTTTAGAAACCTGATGAGGATGATGACGACCACGATGATGAGGATTGTTATTTTGATGATCGACTGAGCTGATCCCTCGGCGGGATGTGAACTTCCATCCTTCCGATCAGGAGCCAAGTGCTCTGAACCACCCGGAGTAGAATGTAGCTATCCCAAAAGTACAACCACTGCAACCCTCGCGTTGCACGCAACTTTTGCTACTTTCTTCCAATGTTACGTGAATGGTCCGCCTTTAAACTCCACAGCTTAATTGATTTCCGACTAACCCCGTAACTGTCTAGGCTCAAGCCTGCTACCTTACAAAGATCTGTCAAGATTAGATTACATGACAGGTGATCCGTTCTTTGACGCAAACTGAATTATAACAGCCTCCCTCCCAATATAAATAGATCAATACTGAACATTAGAACATGTTAATCATTTACAGGCTTCACCAATGGCATCAGGTATTCCCTTAGTGAGCATACAGCAACGAAGACAATACATGTCTGGAGAAGGCGGCATGCCCACAGTCGCAAAACAGCTCACTTTTTTATTATCACAATGACGCCAGAGTTTATTATAACAAGGCCAAATCGGGTGTGGGATAAGAGGCCTACGTGGGGTAAAACTCTTATCTCGTCGTCCTGGTGCTCACGTGTGCTTTGTCTGATGAGCTGTAACAACTTTGTATTTATCCATAATAGAGGTTGTTTATGCATGATTTAAATAATGAGAGTTTGTTTTAGCCATAATATGTATTTATGTTACCAGGTAAGGCCGACTGAGCTGTTTTATAGCTCTTTTTCAGAAGCGACACTGACCATCGCAAATGATAGCGTAACAAAGTGGCTTATGATTACGTGTGAAATGTATTCAAGCTTAATGCTCTAAATGCGTGATGTTGATTCTTAATGTGGAGAGAAAACCCGAAGGAACCAAAGAAAAATCCACGAGACCACGGGGAGAGAGACACGCAAACTCCAAATATACAGCAAACTGTGGCTTCTGGCGTTTGCACCATCTGTGCCCGAGCTGGTAGAGCAACGACTATAAAAGCACCACGTGAGGTCGCATGTCTTTGGAGTGGCGGAAAGGGGGATGCAGTGACACCCCACCACCAACCAAAGTGAGCCTGGGGGGTCGTAACGCGACACGAGCCAAACGAGCGTGGAGACGGGAGAGGAGATTTCATTGAAGACGAGGTTTTGGGATCATCAAGGCTGGTGGTGGAAATTCCACGTTTAGCATGTTGGGGACCAGTCTCTCCTGTGGGCAACTCCTGGTTACTGATTTTTTTTTTATGGGCTACGCATTTTAGCGGCTCCACAGAGATGATGATGTTGTGCATGAGGTGATCCAACGAGGGTTTGACCTCACGAGCTTCCAATTATGCCTCGAGTGTTCTGACCCCAGTAAGTAGAGGGCAGTTTGCTGATGCACATTGATGACATCGCACCACGTACAGGAGATGATCGATTTTCCGGTGGCTTTGGGGGTGAGGCATGGGCCGCCGGATAAAAAAAGAAACGTTCTGACCTCGCGCCCCTACTGGACATCTGCGGAGAAAAGAGCTTCATAGCTCATCGTATTTCTCCTGCAGAATAAATATCCTGACTCTAATTTTGATTAAGACAAATATGGCCGAATGCATTTCTCTCCTGAGCATCCCCAGCTTATTTTCTTTACACGCGGGCTTCCCTCTCGTCTCTTCATAACCCACAGCAAATAATAAAAATAATAATCATAGAGTAGAGCATCGATTATTAGGCAGCTTCGGGGGGGAGGTGGCGCCGGATTTTCAAAAACGCCATTTAATCGCTACATCATTAATATTTAAAAGAGCTTACTTTTACATATTCTTGGGTGTTTTGTATCGGTTATTTTTTTTGTGTTTTAAATTTGTTTACCGTATGAAATTTGGATAGATAAAGAAATAGACAAAATACATATCCTCCTTTGAAAAGTGACAATATTTACTGTACTAGACTTAAACTCCAATCTCGAAGACTCTGCAGCATGGGGTGCTATATATACGTGCAGTATTTTCATAGTTTAAGTTGTACGTATGGTGTATAATGTACTCTATATCATATTTAACACTGAATTCAAGCATAGCCGGATAATTTATTATCTTACCTAATATTTATATAGCGCCTTCATCCAAGGGATTTTACAAGGGATATGAGTAGTATAATGAGGGTACCTAAAAGTGATATGGTGAATAGGGATGTGGTATGGGGAGGGAGGTTTGTGGGTGTATGGGAATTACGGGGGTGCCTAGGGATGGAGGGAGGGATGGGCCAGGCAGAAGAGGTGGTGGTCTTGAGGGAGGAGCGGAAACTAAAGAGGAAGGGTGCTTGCTTAATGTGGAGGGGAAGTTTGTTTCAGTGCAAGGGGGCAAGTAGGAAAAAGGAGCGGAAACGTTGATTGTGCACAAGGAGAGGGGAGAACGGTGAGGAGTGGGAGAGATTGAGAGCGGAGTGGGCGAGGCGGGGGGAAATTAAGCGAGACGAAGAAAGTGTAGTACGGTGGGACAAGGCCATGAAGTTCAAGACTGGAGGACAATTTCCACAATTCTGGCAATTTCCTGACGATGCTGGCTGCCACCATCGTCGTTGCATCAAACTCTCTGATTGTTTAAATGCGCGTCGGATAAACTCTCCAAAACGCCAACCACTCGATCGGTGGTCTTGAAGTGGTCACAAAACCTGGACCTTTGCTCACGTGACAATTAATTGGCTGTGTCGGGTGGAGGGTGTGACGACACACATTTTTTTCACGTGTCAAATGTAAACGAGGGTATCTTTCAAGTGACTGAGATTATCTAGGTGTTAATACAATCCACTCTTAATTATAAGAATTACAATAATCTGAATAAAAATCCAATTTTTGTTATTATTTTTTATACCATTAAAGCTAAATCGAGTCTCAATGCGATTTCCAGGAGGGCCCTGCAAGACATCGAGACGTTTGTTGGATTAATTCCACTGATGGAAGTTTGGCTTCAGCACTGCGGAGGCAGCGGGGTTGGTGGATCAAACCCAGATGTTGCATAACTCCCTTCCCGTAGCTCACCAGAGGTAACGCAGTATGTCTATATTCATGTCTACTATACAGTAGACTCTCGATTATCCACGTTAACTTTAGCCGATTTGCGGATTAACTGCGCACCTGAGACTTTAACATAAATTAATAACTCGTGCATTTTCCTTCAAGCCCAAATTCATAATCTAAAAACAATTATACATTGTTATTCTTGGAAATCTTTATTACAAGTCACGTGCTTAAACCGAACACAACTTTCTTGGCATAGAGATCTGCGGAAAATTTATATTTTTGGATTATCCGCGATTTTTAATTATCCGCGGCCGTCCTCCCAGTCATGAGCGCGAATCATCGAGAGACTCCTCTATGTTGAATTTCTTTCGCACCGTACATATCCAACCGTGC